CCAAAACCGCACTAACCAGCGTGGGGAAGTATGGTCAAACAGCCCCGCATATAACCGACGGGGCGTGGAGGTGAGGCCTTCATGCAGAAATGGATTGTCAAAGAGTTACACGTTGTTATTATTATGATTCACGAGTATCATAACAAATATACTTGGTACATGTGTTCATGCTTCCGCTGGTAAGGAATCGGAGTGCCCGTTGAGAACTCGGCAAGCACGTGGCCCTCAAAGGCACGCGCGGACGGTTTCACGAACCCACCGCCTCCACATGGCCACATCCAGTAGATTTAAATTACTCAACTTTTATTTGACCAGTTAAGGCCCACTGAACTATGTAGCGACCTGGCCACAAATGATAGCTCGACAAAGTGGCTTATCGGTGTGGACATTTATAGCGGCCAAGTATGAATGTGGAGGGGAAAACCTGGAGGACCTGGAAGAAAAATCACGCAACCACTGGGAGAAGATGAAACTCCAAATATACAACAGGCGTGAGGGTCGGGATCAAACCCACGACCTCCTGCATACCAGGCGAGGGAGTTAACATCTCACCTCCTCAATGTGCCCCCCCCACTGAGATGCAACTCTGCTCTTGGCGGCTGGGAGACACTCAATATGACATTTACAAAAAAGGTCACACACACACACAACGGTCCATCATTTGGTCGATGCGACCCCCACACCTCGCCATCGCTTCCTTCCTTCTGTAAAATAATCCTGGAAAGCAAACTTCCGCAATGAACACGTGGACGCAATGTGGTCTCACCTCGTGTCTTCGTGATGCCGATGTAGGTGCACCCCCCCCCCCAAATATAATAAAATAATTTATACTGGAGGAATCCGATGAGCTATAAAGCTCTTGTTTTGACAGATGTTCAGAATCAAGACCGTGTAAAGACGTGCAGTCATCCCGTCACCGTGGGGTGGGGAGGGCGAGGTGACTTGTAATTACACAAATCTCTACGCGACCCACCAACCCTTGCCCACAAAGCGCCGGGTCATACCGTTGATATTTCACGTAAATAACGTCAGGCGATCGGTAACATCTCAAATTCTTTTGTCAAGGCGCTCTTCCCCCTCCAACCCAGCTTAAATATAGGCTGCCAAGCCTGGTGGTGTTCATTCAGACTGTCTTTCCGACAGACCTGTTCTTCACCTGAGGACGGCTGCTTGCGTTGTGGTCGAAACGTCGTGAGAATTATTTTATTCTGTTTCATTTTTATTATTTTATTATTTCCCTTCCACGTGACTTTACCGAAAGAACCAATAAGATGAATCCCTGCAGTCACGAAAGCTTTAAATCGAAATTTAACATCTCAAGGGTCACGTTTATTTTTGTTTATCCACGATGGCGAACTCCAGACACCAGGGCAGAGGCACATTTGCACGAGTGACCGAGATCCAAGTCACAGCGCATTGTCCAGGCCACCGCGTACACATTGAGTGGCCAGAGGAAGCAGAGATTGAACCCTCAACTCCGAGCAAACCGGCTCACGGTACGCATTCATCGCTTGCCGCCACGCGGTCGAGCGGCAGCAGGCTGACACGTCCATGTCGCGGATTTGCGCGAATGCGGGAAATGCAAGTTGAGTCTGAAGTGAACTCTCCTTCTCACTGAGCGGTGGCGCAGTGGTTAGCGCACTGCGTCACGAGACCCCCTGCGACCAGAGTTCGACTCCCGACCGCGGCTTCTCGTCAGTGGCGAAGTGATGATATCTGAACCCGGACGAACGACACGGTGTGGGGAGGCATCCAGACAGCGCTGGAATAGCAAGCGGCTGTAAAGCATCACTATTATTATTAATAATACACGCAAGTTCATTACTACATTATCTCGCGTGGCTAGGAAAGACATTGGTCAGTGCTAGGTGGTGAAGGCAGAGAGTGGGACAGGGCTAGGACCGTGTCTGACATCTCACTCGCTACTAATATTCGCCGTGGCCGGGACTGCAATTCATGTGGCTGTGGGTCCATATCGCACTGCGCTAACCACTGCGCCACCGCTCCCCCCCAGTCCCTCCCCCCCCCAACAGAGGCAATAGTATTCACACCGTGTTCCTATGACAAACTCCACTACCACCCACCCACCCACCCTCCACCATGTCATTATTATTTTCTTTTATTTATTTTTAGCAATTGATTAGCTTGCAGAGCGTGACCGCCACTTGGCATTTTACATAAGTCGCGGTGCATCATCGCTTTCATGCGATACGCAGCGGCACTTTTGAATGCGGAGGAGGGAGAAGAGACGCTGATATCTGAAGTTGGCGACAGCGGTCACGCAACGCCGAGTGGTTTTTAAAATTCTGCCCGACAGCGGCGAAAATGCTGTCACGCAAAGGAGCGACTTTGTCGCCCGATAAAAGACAAAGATCCCCCCTGTATCGCCTGAACAGACTGTAGCGACAAGCCATATTGGCCAAGGCCACGCCCGGCCGCCTTTGTCTCCCTAGTGGCGATGTTTACGTATCGCACCAGGTACTCAATTGAAGCCGACTCGACCAAGCAGAGGCCTAGGACCGGTTCAGATGTGTGAACGTGACTGGCGTCGGCGGCCGTGAGCGAGATACGAACTCGTGTCGCCAGGTTCGTAGCGCAACGTAACGCCAACCGCTACACTACCGCTCCCCACTATAGTATTCGCCCTCTGCACACACACACACACGCACACACACACGCGCGGACACACACACACACGCGCGGACACACACACACACACGTAGCCAGGGACGCTCAGAGCCCGGGCGCGAGCTTTTTTGGACATTGCCCTCTCCGGCATCGCGTTCACCCAATCGACACGAGCGTCAGTGTCTGATCGGTGCGCGCTTTTATCTTCCGTGCGAGATGCTGAACGCGAGCGCGGCCCTTCTCTGCGTCGACTGGACGACGACTGTCGCCCATGCGCGTCGCGTCGTTCGCACGGGGGGGGGGGGGGTCGTGCCAACTGCGCCATTCGCCCACTACGCGTAACGCCCGGCGCGACATTACGGCTGCATTGTTTAACAGCGTCAATCTCATCGAGACCCATTGGACATTGAGCTACGTGGGTGTCTGCGCGTGCACGCACGGGAGGAGCGGCGGTCGCGTTACAATTATTGGATGGTGGGATTTCTGAGCGGCGCTGCGATGCGAATTTGGCGCACCTGAGTTCGAATCCCGAACACGGCTAACCTCAGTGGCGAGTGATGTCTGAACTGATCTTGCACCCCCCCCCCCCACCAACTCGTTCCTCCCCCCTACCCATCACCAACGCGGACTGACCAGCGTGGTGAAGTATGACCACAACAACCCCCTGTGACCGACAAGGCGTGGGGAGAGGTCTTCATCTAGTAGTGGATTGACAAGACGCTGTAAATTGTTATAATGAATGAGACGTTCGCAGCAGCAACAGCAGCATACTTTAGCAAATTGCCACACGGGCCTGGTGTGACGGTGTATCGCGTGGAAGCGTCGACGGAGCTATATTGCCCAGAATTAAACATTTCGCTGCGGCTCTGCGTTAGCAGTGGTGCACAAGCACACGTCACAAAACAAACAAAAGATACCCACCCCCTCGACACAAATGTGTCAATTGCGCCGCCCTCACAGGAAACAATTACCAGGCGACGTTTCGGGCGATGGTCCTTCTGCCGTACGATCTCTGCTGTGAAGAATGTGCATTGTCCGACCAAACAATGCCTATATATATACTCGTAGGGCGAGTGTTATTGACCAATGTGTTGCGTTTGTTACATGGCCCAAAAAAAGATTTTGCGCTCGGATGTCAAACGTATTTCGTGGCTGTCACCTGGTGTGGTGCTGTCACCTCGGGGGCCACGGCGACTCAAGAGATGTTCCGTTTCACACGAAATCCACAGCCTAGTCGTGTCACGTGTCCGCTCGCGTCTTAGCCATTCCGTCTTGCTTGAAATATATACTCACGCGCACGCATATATTTTATTTCGTATCTCTGTGTAAATAAACTAAAACACAAGCCAACGGGTCGACGAGAGATGTTCATGGCCCTCCGACGATCCAGCGATGTTCTTCTTAACTTCGCCTTTGCTGTCCACAATAACGACGTTCGCTTGCTGTCGATTCAGAGCGAAGGTGTTGCTGCTGCTGCTGATATGATTATAATAGCCACGATGCAGATGGTGACGATGATGATAGTGGTGGTGGTGATCACGACGGTGATGCAATGATGATGATGATGGTTAGATGGGTACAGTCGTACGTTTGCGTAAAAGTGAATTGCAGGCCGCTGTTAGCGTGGTTGCTCTTAGCGCAAGAGTAAAAAAAATAAGCGGTAAGAATATTGAATAAAAATCTCGCCGATTTTGACAGCCGCAATAATAATGTAAAGACAGGTCTATTAATTTCCCCACAAACAACGTACGCGGCACGGCATCACCATTTCTCACGCGGCGCGCGCGCGCGCCAAGCGGAGCGCGCCTATGGCAGGCAGGCAGGCATCTGACTGACTGCAAGGGTTGGAGCTATCCCAAACACCCCATCGCGAGAAAATTACACAAGCGTGCATTGGGCAAGCGAGCGGACAGCACTCCCCTCCCCTCCTCCCCGTCCCCCCCACGCACCCCCCCTACCCAAAAATATACATAGAGCACGGCACCTACAAGCCAACAGACACGGCCACGCTGTGATGAATTTTTAAATGCTCGGGCTGATCTTCGGTGTCTGGAGTCGTGGATGAGGTGGGGGTGGTGGATAAGGGGTGGTGATGGAGAGGGGGAGAGGAAAGGGGAAGCTAGGGGACTATGATGGGGGGGGAGGCGGGGGGAGGACGATGGGGGAGGGGGTTGATTTGCAGGGAGGAGGGGTGGGGGGTGGGGGGTGGGAGAGGAGGAGGAGACTGCGCCGGGTGGGCGCCGGGCGAGGCGAGCTCGTGGTGCCGCCGCGTGCTGCAGCCGGAGTCTCGCTTCGCTCCGACGGAACCAAGAGCGGTCGGAGAAAGCGGCAGGAGCGGTGGGGAGGGCGAGGGAGGGAGGGAGGAAGAAGAGAAAGCAGGAGGAGGAAGAAGAGCAGGAGGAGCAGGAGGAGGCCTCTTCGCTGTGGTGGTGGTGGCCACGATGTTCATGCTGGCGTCACTGGAAGAGGACGTCCGCTCATTGGTCGCCGGGAGCCCGGCTCTGCGAGCACTGGCATCCCTGCTAATGCGCGGCGCGCTCGCGAACACGAAACGTCTCCATTAGCGCCTCATCAAGAACGCATTAATTGTTGGGGGAAAACGCGTCGCCCATCACGGTCTTTCCTTCGTTATCTTATATTTATTAATATTCGCAACATATATTTTCTACAACCAAAAAAAAAACCCGTTTGTTTTGTACACCTGCTCCATCGTTCATCGTCGTCGTCCGTCGTCACCGTTGTCAGTGCCGACACCATCTCATCTCATCATCACCACAACCACCAACACCGTAATCAGCATCGGCGGCGGCGGCATCATCGTCGCATTCGTAGCCACGCGCTACGCTGGGTGCGCCGAGCTCTGCTCCCTCCTCCTCCTCCCTCCGCCGTTCGCGATCGCCGGCCGTGGTGGATTAATCCTCGCTGCGGGTTTTTATTTGCGGTGGAACCGAGGAGGCGCACTGCCGAGGGAGCGCACGGACGCTGGAGAGGGCGGTTGAGGAGGGACCCTAGGAGCACGCACACGAGAGAGCGAGAGAAGAGAGAGAGCGCGCCCAAGGGAGAAGGAGAGAGAGACGAGAGAGCAAGCGGGAGAGGAGAGAGAGCGAGCAAGCCACCCAACCACCACCACCACCAGCGAAGATTCCTGCCCTGCGCATCCCCGCACGCACCCATGCAAGAGGTCAGGCTACCATCCCTCTGTCTCTCTCCTTATCTCTCTCGCTCGCTCGCGTTCGCGCTCTCTCTCTCTCTCTCGTGCTCTTTCGATCTCTCTGCGGCTCTCGCACGGCCGTCTCCGATGCCGGCTCCGATGCCCGATGTGGGGGTTTTTTGTGTGACGGTAATGGATTTTTTTCTCTTCTCTCGCTCGCTCGCTCTCTCTCTCTGTTTAATTCGCTTTGCGCTTCCACGTCGCTGCTCGCTCGCTTACCCCGCAAGCGTGATGGACGTGTACACGTGTGTGTACACGTGTGTGCACCTACACGTGTGTACTTACACGTGTGTGCGTGTGGGGTGCATATCCAGGTACCTCTGTTTGAACGTACGCGTCTGTCTGTGCATGCCTGTGGACATCTGAGCGTACGTGTCAGTCCGTGTGTATCTCTGCGTGAGTGAACATGTCATTCTACGGATACCCTCGCCTGCAAATATACGCGCGGGTGTGCGCGCGTGTGTCCGCGTGTGTCTGCCCGCCCGTCTTTCTCGCCTCAGTGCGGTAACACGCGTGCATATGCGCGTGCGAGAACATGTGCGTGCTCAGGCACATCTCTCTGTGCGCGTGAGCGTACGTGCCGCCGGTCTGCCTGTATCATACACGCGCGTCTGTACACGTGTGTCCCTGCGTGCGTGCGCGCGGCGGGACGGGCGTGTGCGCGCGCCGGGTGTGTGCGCGTGTGTCTGTGTGTGTGTGTGTGCGTGCGTGTGTGTGTCTGTGTGTGTGTTGTGTGCGTGTGTGCGTGCGTGTGTGCGTGTGTGTGTGTCTGTGCGTGTGTGCGTGCGTGTGTGCCTGCGTGCGTGTGTGTGCGCGTGTGTGCGTGCGCGTGTGTCTGTGCGTTTGTGTGTGCGTGTGTCTGTGCGTATGTGCGTGTGTGTGTGCGTGTGTGTGTGTGCGTGTGTGTGTGCGTGTGTGCGTGTGCGTGTGTGCGTGTGTGTGTGCGTGTGTGTGTGCGTGTGTGCGTGTGTGCGTGTGTCTGTGCGTGTGTGTGTGTGCGTGTGTGCGTGTGTGTGCGTTTGTCTGTGCGTGTGTGCGTGCGTGTGTCCGACCCGTCGCGCGTAGCCTCTTGCATATGTAACGCCACCCGTACACGGAGCTCATCTTCATTGTAGCGTGCGCCACTGCGAGCAGCCGATGGAGCGAGAGGAGGTTGGTGCGGGTGTCTGTGGCTTGCGTGGGGGGGGGGGGGGTGCCGGGGGGGGGGGGGTTGTGGAATCGAAGCCCCCCCCCCGCCCTCTACCCCCGTTTGCCTGCCCGCGCGTCATACTAATTAATACCGGAGACACACGATGGCAACCGCCATCAGCGAGACGCCGGTGAGCAGGATATATATTAAACAATATAAAAAATATTCCCCTCCAAATCCCCCATCTCACCCACCCACCCCCTACCCAACCCCACACCCCCACCCTAGGCAGCGCGCTCATTTACCTGCGCGGCGCGCAGTCTGCACGACGCCGCGTGGCATTGATGCGATGCAAGCCTGGAATATATTAGCCGGCGGATTATAGTCGCGTGCGCCTGTGCGTGCGTGTGTGGGTGAGTGTGGGTGAGTGTGATGCGTGTAGCAAGGGAGGGGGGTGGTGGGAGCCGGTGGTGGAGCGATTTAGCGCTACGCTGCGCTACGAACACGGCGGTTCACCCGAGTTCGATTCCCGCCCACGGCCACCAACGCCAGCGACGATGATCCCTGAACCGGTCGTGGGCTTCGCCTAGGTCGACTCTGCCTCGAATGAGCCGCTGGGGGAGACAAAGGCGGCCGGGCGTGGTGTTGGCCACCCACCCCGTCGTGTGCCCTGCCGGCCTTCATAGGTGCTCGCTAACAGCACTTGCCCCAACAGTTTGTTAAGGCTACACGGGGGATCTTTGTATTTGTGTTATCTCATAACGGCATTTGTTCCTGCCTCGCCTCTCTCATTTTCAAATGTTGCGCACAGACTGAGCGCCGCGCGTGTACGTGTGTTGCGTCTATTTGTTTAAACATTGTAATTGAATTCTACGTGGGTTTTTTTTCTTCTTCTCCCCTTGAATCACTCAGCAACGCTATTGTTATTGTGGATTTTCTTCGCATTTGCAATGCACGGGTGTAACGTGTACGCACGGGTGTACACGTGTTTGCATGCACGTGTGCATCTATGTCTTGTACGCGTGCGTGTATACGTGTGCGTGTCCATGCACGTGTGTGTGTGTATGTGGGTGCATGCATGTGCATATACGCATGTGTGTTCGTGTGTGTGCGCGCGTACATCGGGTATGCTAATGCACATGTAGGTGTGTGTGTGTTCGTGCAAATATAATTGTATATGCGCGTGCATGTGTTCACGCGTGTGTATGCATGCGTGTAACTACGTACGAGCTTGCGTGTGCGTACGTGTATGCGTATGACCGTGTGTGTACGCGTGCGTATGCACGTGTGTCCACACACACGTGTGTGTGTGTGAGTCTGTGCCTTTGTGTGTACGTGTGTGTACGTGTGTGTACGTGTGTGTACGTGCGTGTCCGTGTGTGTGCGTGCGTGCGCGCCTCGGTGGTAGGAATGTTTAGAGGCAGGACTCTGTGGTTGAAACGCGATAATTAAGAAACACATCACGTGCCCATGTCTATCGCGGGGAACACTTAGCCCCAGGATTTAGGCGACCGCACACGCTCCACGCGTACATATTAGCACACAAAGATCAAGATCCCCCCCGCCTGTATAGCCTTGCCAGAATGTTGGAGCAAGTGTTGTTAGCGAGCACCTATGAAGGTCGGCTCGGCGTACCGAGGGTCATTGTGGCCAGAATCGATGCCCGACCGCCTTTGTCTCCCCGGTGGAGATGTATTTCCCATCGCGCCAGGTAGCCATTTGCGGCTGAGTGGAACCTAGGGGGAGGTTCACCCACGACCGGTTCGGACAGTCGTCACTGGCGTTGGCCGTGAGCGCGAATTGAACTCGAGTCGCCGCGGTTCGTAGCTTTAACCCGCTGTACGTGTGTGTGTGTACATACACGTGTGTACACACACACACGTACACGCGCGCACTCGTATACATTTGTACGCGCACAGGCGCGTGTGTCACGTGTACTACTCGTGTGCGCACACACACACGCGAAGACGGAGGCACCCACGCGTGCACACACACTCGACACGCGTACAAACGTAAAAGAGTGCGCACGCATAGACGCACAGCAATCGCCTGTTCGTCACTCAGTCGCGGTGACGTCACCGCGTCGCTCGTGCCAGGCTAGGTGCACCTTGAGGCCACGTGAGGGGTGGAAGACTCGCTGGCACGAGGTCACGGGACAGACCCCGGTGTTCTGGGTTGACTGAGATGATTGCCAGATGCACCACCTATGCTTCCCGCTGTGCCAACTCGCTGCGTTTTATCCGCCCGGGCGCTCCGCTCGTTATTGTGAGTGTCGCTACTCTGACCTCCGTTATTATTGTCGGGCGACTGCCTCCAACTGCCCAGTAGCCTCCTCCGCAGAGGCCGATCTTGACACCGCTGGTACCAGTCATCAGCAAGTCCACTCAGCTCCACATCCTCCTGTACCGCACCAGCTCCATCTCTTCGTCAGCGTTGGCTGCGCCGGTTAAGCCCGTCTTATCCGCCACACAGAAGCTGCTTGTGCATGCGGTGGCTGAGCATATACACACAAAGACAAAGATCCCCCGTGTAGCCTTAACAGACTGTTGGGGCAAGTGCTGTTAGCGAGCACCTATGCAGGCCGGCACGGCACACGAGGGGGTGGGTGGCCAACACCACGCCCGACCGCCTTTGTCTCCCCATAAGTGATGTTTACACACCGCACCAGGTTCTCAATTGAGGCTGAGTCGATCTAGGGGAGGCCCAGGACCGAATCAGATAATCGTCACTGGTGTTGGTCGGGTTCGTTTGCGCAGTGCGCTAACCGCTGCGCCACCACTCCCCACATTATACACACACACACTGGTACACACATGCACAGAAGCACGTACTCACATACACACACACTCACACACACGCCACGCATTCACACACATGCACACACTCACACACATGCCACGCATTGACACACGGGCACATGCACATACACACACACGCTACGCACACACACACCAGGCATTCACACAAACGCACACATGCCACGCATCCACACACGGGCACATGCACACACACACACACACGCTACGCACACACACGCACACGCCAGGCATGCACACACGCCACGCAATTACACACACACACACGCTACGCACACACACGCACACTTCACGCATTCACACACACACGCACTCACACACGCGCATATCCCGATTTGCAATTCACCGCTAGAACCTCGTAGAGACCAAGCTCGCACACATTGTTGCAGTTGCTGCAGGTAGTCGTCCCCGTGGTGCTGCCTCCTGCTGCCCGTGCTGCCCACGAGTGATTACACTGCGGCATGGCCTCGGGTTGCGTGTGTGCCCTTACCTGGACTTGAGTCGCACGACAGAATTCAATTTACGGCGCCCGCCTCCGAGTTTCCACACGGACGCGATGTGCGAACATCCACGATGTCAAAGACAAAGTTCCCCCGTGGCAGCCCCAACAGACTGTTGGGGGGCAAGTGCGGTTAGTGAGTAGCACCGATGAAGGCCGACACGGCACACGAGGGGGCGGGTGGCCACTACCGTACACACACACACATTTGCGCGTGTGTGTGTGCGTGTGTGTGCTTGCACGTGTGTTTATAGTGGGGAGCAGAAGTGCAGTGGCTAGCGCGCTGCGCTACGAACCCGGCGACACGAGTTCGATTCCCACTCACGGCAAACACCAGTGACGATTATTTGAACCGTTCCTGGACCTCCCCTAGGACGACTCAGCCTCGAATGAGTACCTGGTGCGATGCGTAAACATCGCCACTCGGGAGACAAAGGCGGTCGGGCGTGGTGCTAGCCACCCACCCCCTCGTGTGCCGTGCCGGCCTTCAAAGGTGCTCGCTAACAGCACTTGTCCAAACAGTCTG